CGCCCCCCCCCCCACCAGCCCCCCCCCCGCCCGTTCTCCCCGCCTTAAAACTGATTGGGACAATCAAACCAACACCTTGCAGCCGCCATGGCCGGTCACTGCATCACACTATGCAGCTTTCCTGCAGGGCTCAACGCCGCCCAGCCCTGGACAGAAGGTAATTCCTGATCCGGCATGGCTCTCGGGGATTCAGATACCTACCAGCAGCCCAACATCACCCACCTTCAGCCTTATTATGTCGAGCCCCTTTGGGCTTTATCAGGACGGAGTTCCAAGTGCCGCATCGTCCAGGATGTGGACTCCTGGCCAGAGCGGCATGTGCTCTCCGGTCATGCCACCGTCGGACGTGCAAATGTCAGATGATGCTTCTGATGAGTTTGCATTTGGGAGTTGCAGCAATGAGAACCAGTTGCAGCAACTGGGAGTGGTGAAGCCATGGGAAGGAGAGAGGATTCACGAGGATTGTGGGTCTGATGACTTGGAACTCACTCTTGGCAGCTCGAGGACCAGAGCTGACGCTTGATGAGCTCGCTGTTATTTATGTCAGCAACGTTGTATTCGGATTATTTTATATCAGAGTTGGTTTAATTTAACTGTTATTGCTAATATTTGTAGTAATTATGAAACATATTTGTATTCCACATCCAGCTAATGTAAATTTCTTTAAAATTAACTGCTTATTTATCTTAATTTTAACCATTATTTTCTTGAGGACTTCAAATCTTTATGACAAAATGACAAGGAATTGGGACCTGTCTATCTCACACCTAAACTTTCATTTTTTACGCATAGCACGTCTTTATGTATGGATGAAAAGATTGATTTGATTATTAAAAGGTGGTATTTGTAATTATGAAAGTTTAGGTGTCAGAGAGGTAAATACGAAAGTTTTGCATGCTATGTATGCAAAAGTCTGTTCTTTTCTTCCTCATGGTAAATTATGGTAAAATGCCGTAATTCATTTTGATTATTTATGGATACATGGGCCTGTATGTTGACGTATTAAGGAGCTTGCTTCGTGCATCTTTTCGTCAAGTTACTATGAACTCTTTTTAAATATACGTCTAATGAAATGTATACTATTCAGGGACCGGTTTTAGTTTTTGCCTAGAATCTAGGAGTGTATGTACTTGATGCGCTCCTTTTTTTTTTCTTGATTTTGAGTAGTAAGTCATCCAAACTCCTAACCTAAATTTTGTGTCCAGAGTCCAATAATAGCGTGCCACAAGGTGAGTGGACCCCCAACCTTTAAAAAACATACCCAATCAGTGTATTACAGTGAGACATACTTGTCATGTGGCAAGTGCTCACTAGGGCTGTCAAAAAAGCTCGTTCGCGAACAGCTCGTGTTCGGCTCGTTCGTTAAGTAAACGAGTCGAACACGAACAAATTTTTAAAGCTCGAATTATAAACAAGCCGAACACTAAAAAAAAATTATATAACTATTTATATGACAATATATTACATATATTATTTATATAATAATATATTATATATATTTATGTATAAGTTTAAATCATAACACCTCATGTGACAATGTGGTTAGTGCATTCTTTTGTATACATTTGATCCAGGTTCGAATCTCATACTTTATATCTATTTTTCTCAATTTAAGTTTAACGAGTCAATTTCGAGCCGAACACGAGCTGAACTCGAACACGAATATTTTAATCGAGCCGAACACGAACACACTGTTCACGAGCCGATTTCGAACACGAGTCATTTCGAATGAGCCGAACACGAGCCCAACATAAGCTCGCTCAAGCTCGGCTCGTTTACAGCCCTATTGCTCACTGGGCTCCAAACGCAAATTTGCGTTCTGTGTTCTAATGGAATAATCACTCGAATTGAAGGGATTTCCAACCATTTTTTTGCGATAATATTTTAAAATTAGTATTTTTTTAGTTTATTATTTTAAATTCACACTAAAAAATATATTTTTTTTGATCCATAAAATTATGATGAAAGCAGGCAATTTTATCTAGTTAGCAGGTAAAATTGTCAGTTAAGATGGTGATTTTGCCACGTCACCAAAATACATAAACGATTTTATTTTTTATTTTTAAATCTAACTATTCTTTTTTTTTTTGTTTATATTTATAATATTTTTGTTTCATAAGTTTATGCAAGAAAATATTTATTTTATTTTTTAATAGATTAATAATAGCTAGTTTTTATTGGATGTTGATAATTTGAGGGATATGCATGTAAATGTAAAAATTTAGATTTTAGATATGTAAATCTATAGGAATTGTAATATGTATGTGTTGAATCTTCATGTGCACTTGAATCACACTCAATGAATAGTTCTCAAGTAAGAAGAGAGAGAAAAAGACAGAAAGATGAATGAACGGTAATGAAAACTAATCTTTGTGTTCATTCATCAAATAATATCCTTATTTATAAAGATAAAGGTATAATATGATAATGTTATATTTTTGTCATACTTTAATGGGGGATGCATAAGATATTCTTGGTATTTTACATATATGAGTATTTTGCTCGGCTGCTTCCTGGCTTGGTCGGCGGATCGTGATTGGTTTCGCAGAACCGGTTCGGTCGGCTAGGCATGGTCAACATTATTTATCGACTGATCTAGTTGGTTGTCATCGTGTTTGGTTTCGCAGAACCGGTTCGGTCGGCTAGGCATGGTCAGTTTTATTTATCGACTGATCTAGTTGGTTGTCATCGTGATTGGTTTCGCAGAACCGGTTCGGTCGACTAGGCTTGGTCAACATTATTTATCGACTGATCTAGTCGGTTGTCAACCAGTTGAGACTTCTGAACATCTACTGTATAATTGGAGATGTTAAATGACTGAGTCTTCTCTAGGGTGTTGTTTTCTTTGTGGTGGTTTGCTTGGATGTCTTTTTATCTCGTTTATGACTAAACGGTTACTCACACCATTTGGTATTCTATTTTGTCATTCTCGTGCCTCAGTCGGCTTTGATCTTGCTAGCTTTGGCTCGGATTTTTGCATTTAGTCGTATAAGTGAGCCCACGTTTTCTTCTATTTATGAGTCATCCCTCGTCGTACTCATTTTCTTTTGATCATTAAATATCTTTGGAATCAACGTTGACACTTTTTTATGTACATGTTTTAGTTTCTTAATTACCTAATTTTTCGAAAGTGATGATGCGATAATATTAAGAGAATTTAATGCAAAAGGTATATTGCATTTATTTTTAATCAAATATTCAATAATTAAACTCTATGGATTTTCATATTTTTGATCCTTATAAATAAGCCATGATGAGACTATCCACATTCCATATTTGCTCTACATCTTTTCTTATTTGAATTGGCTCGCTTCCGAGGGCTATAATGGAGAACGTGATGAATCCCTAAGGTGAGATTTCCAACAAAGATATGATTCATGCTGTCTTCGGGAGATTGAAGGAGCGATATTGCTCAGAAGGCAAATGGAAGAAGAAAACAATCATTAAGAAGAGAAAAGTGATTGCATTGGTGGATCGGGTAGGGTCTTCTTATTCATTCCTTGGCTCTCAACGAAGGAGCGTTCACGTAAGTCGCCCAACCACTGATCCATCGGCTCAACCTTCTACTGCGACACAAAGCCTTTTGACCGAAGGGGCAACGCATGAAGTCGCTAGTGCTCTACCCGTGGTGCAAGAAGTTTTCATGTGCTCTGTTGCCGCTTAAGATGGAATAAGCTTCTCATGGTTTGCAACCATCCGGTGAGAGCACTGTGTCACTTACTTTTTTTGAGTAGGATGGACTCCTTGGTATGAGGAGTCTTGATCTTTCTTGTTAGATTTTGATTTTTATGGGTCATCTCTTTTTTGCAATGTTGCTTGGTGCAACTAACTCAGTCCTGATAGTCTTGAGCGGTGACTCGCTTGCAATAAATGTTGGTGGGAACTCGACTGTCATGCCAACGGTGGCTGCCCAGGAGCCTTTTCGGGATAGTGGACTCTAAAGAGAGGATGATGGTATTGACCGTCAAGACAATCTATTCGAGAACCATAGGGAAGCAACAAATGGATGTTAAATATTTCTGAGGTCGCTAGCTCGCAGCATGAATGATATCAAGAACACCTTCGCTAGATCGACCAAGATTTATTGAGGCAAAGAGATACACGAATTGCTTGCTTGTGTTAAGAAAGAGGAAAGGATGGAAGAAAAGATGGACACTATCCGAGAATAATTGAACGTCCGGGAGAAAACTTTCATACTTTATGCTCAAGCAAAGATGGATCGAGTGAAACAATTTAAGTTTAGTGGAGAATTTAACCATCGTATTAAAAAATTTATCAAAGATTCAAACTATTTTTATATTCAAACATCAAATCTATCATGGTGATTTTTTATGAGCACTAGCAACACATTACACAAATACTTTCTCAAATTTAGTTAAGGTTCCAAACGACCTATTAGAAAGTTCTATCTTTTTTTCAAAGGCAAATTTTGAAAAACTAATAATAAATAAGCCAATCAATAAAACATTATTTTTTCTTGTGTTATAATAGAAAGCTCTATATTGGGTAATATGTTGGCTAGAATTTCTAGTCCTATCAAACTATTTAAATTATAATGATATGAAGTACTTTGAGTAGAGAAAGCTCAATAAATCGTTCAAGACAAATTTTGAAAACTAATGATAAATAAGCCGAACAATAAAACATTGTTTTTTCTTGTATTATAATAGAAAGCTCTATAATGGACAATATGTTGGTGAGAATTTCCAGCCCTCTCAAACTATTTAAATTATAATGACATAAAGTATTTTGAGTAGAGGATATCTACATGTATTTTTAAATAAAATCTTATCTTTATTATAGGTTTCACTCCATATTAAGTTGTAATAGTAGCCTTCTTATATATCATCTAAGAAACATAGATGTGAATTAAAAGCCAAGATGGGGAATATTAGGGTATGAATTGCTAGTGCTAGCTAAGAAATATATCTAATCAAATATAAATCAACTTGAGAAATTGATTCAAATGGAATCATGGTAGACTATATCTTTTAGAAGTGTAGGGCAATAATTTGTGAGGAAAGGTTATAATTATCTAAGTAATTGGGTATTATATCTTCATTATACATTAATATTTTTCCTTATATTATTAAATGATAATAAATAATTGTTGAGGCTCCAGTCATCTTGATCTTTTTCTTGATATATTGGTAAGTTATTAGTGACTTCTCCTTTCCTTTTGGATCTTCATTAATACATTATAGTATAATAGAAATCATATAAGTCATTGATACACCAAAAATATATGCATTTTTAGACTCATATTTTATAATTATTTTTTTTGATATTGCACTTTAATGGAAGATATTTTTTATGTTTTATTGCAAGTTGTTAATTTTTAGGACTTGGAGCAAAAAAAAAACAAAAATGATGAAATTTGAAGTCAAAATGAAGATTTTGAAAAATTGTTCAGCACTAACGGTGCCAGACTAGGCGCTGATAGCACCGTTTGACAGAGAAGACGAATTTAATTGGATGGCCACTGGCACCGACGACGCCAGTGTAGGTGCAGACCCTATTTCTAGAAGATTCGATGAATTTGAATGTTTTTTGAAGAGTTTTTGGATGCACATATTGAAGAACCGACTTTAAGCTCTATTTAGAGCCAAAATTAATCATAAAAGAGTCCGCTTTCACATCTCTTTGACTCCTCTTTGCCACTTTACATCATTC